ATGATTATTCATTGTCAAAACTTATACTTTAAATTAATCTATTTTGCAAATATGTGTATTTGGGTATTTGCATATACGCATAAACCTGTCAGATATCAAAATAAAATTGTTCAGTTTATCCAGAGTTGCCATCGCAAGATGTGGTTATTTTATGTTGTTACAGTCTGTATACAAAAGGATACACCTAATGTCGACTTAAATTTCAAAAATGATTATTTTATTGTTTACACTACACAATCGAACTTTACTAACGAAGTTAAGCAAAGTTGAAAAGCTATAATTGCAATGTACGTAAAACTATTTTTTGTTTACAAAGTATCGGAAAAAGTTGAAAATGTGAAAAATATTAATGATTTCTCAGCTAGTATTAGTGTATTTTTTACTTACACCTTCGAGAGCTTCATAGAAAATTGTTGTTGCTTGAAAAAATAACTAACATTTGTTCACAATGGAGATGTTATTCTTGCTAAAGGTCTGTTCCACGAGCTACTTGTAGTAGCTTTGAGTAAAACTGCGTATATACAAGTGCGTTCCATTAGAAAATTTTCGAGTAAATGCGAGCATCTTAGAGAGCGTATCATCCCTGTCGAAATTTGAAAATGCTACACGGACCTTACTCGTATATTTTGTTTCAAGTAAAATTTGTGTTGATGTGTGAATCAGCTGTTTTGGTTTGAATTTGATTTTTTGTAATATTTATTTACGCGGTACTGGTGTTCTCACCAGACTTTACACAAAGCTGTTCCATGAAAATCTGTTTAAAGACCGTAATTTGGCACTTTATTTGTTTCACGCTCTCAGTTTGTACTTTACTTGTGTTTACTTGAGTTTTACTACGAGTAGCTCATAAAACAGACGTAAAGTAATCTTTGCACAAGGGAAGTTACTAAAATTTGATATATTATTCAAAATTTTTATGTGTAAATTGTAAACGAAAAACAGCTGAGCTGAGAAATAAGTATTTAATAAGATCTTTAGTTTTATTAAGTAAATATGTAATTAATATATAAAATATTTATGTATATAAGTAACTAAATATATTATTTATATGTAATTATTTGTGCGATATATTAGCCGTAGTTTTTTCTTTCAGATTTGTTAAAAACAGAATTAAGCTTAGTTAAGACAAATTGATATTAATTTTAAAATAAAAATTCATAAATTTTACGAAAAGAAAACAAAATAAATATTAGAAGGGCAATGTTAAGCATTTTTATATTAAATACTAAAATAAATGTATTTATTTATTTGAAAATTATTTTGCAATTTATTTATAAATAAATTTATTAGAAAATAAAACGCTTATAACATTTTAAGGGATGACTGGAATTTTGCAACACGTTTCGTGTGAACATTCACAATAGACTGATTTTTGAACTTTGCTATACAAAATTTAAGACGTGAAAGTTTTTGTTAGTGATATCTAACTCTGAAGATTTTAAAAGCATTGTTGTAGCTTCCGATGTTTTCTTTCGTAAGTTGAGAGTAGTTTTTTGCTACTCTGAAAGAAAAAATTATGGCTATTATTAGGTGAAGTTTACTTGAACAAACGGAAGCTCTCTTAAAACTTTCTGACACTTAAAGGCTCTTTCACATGCAATAAGTAACTTTTATCAATAGAAACGAAAAAATTTTAGTTACTTAAGTAACCTACTAAGTAAATAATGGAAACATGATACAAGTTTATAATTCAAGAGTTCACAGGATTAAATTCCAATTGCATTTTCCATTTCTTAATAAAATAATTTATAATCATGATATATTCCATCAGTAGGTTTTGAATTTAATTTAGCACATCAAAATTTGTCACCTTATTTGGGGGTCGTGACTTTTTAAAATCTTAAATACAAATCGATCATAAGAAAATATTTTTCGGATCACTCCATATTATAGTGCTGAGTCCCTATAAACACTGTAACCCATAGTGGTCTCCAAATACGACATAATCAATATAATAAAAAAAAAAAATCTAATACATCTCATTTATTTTTTTTTAATTATATTGCATTAAATCCAAAATCATAATTTTACGCGATTGCAAAATATTTTCTATTCCTGATAAATATATTTTGCATAAAATATAAATAATGTTCAATTCATAATCGTGTCAATTCATAACCATGTTAGAAGACTCAATCTCCCCTTCAATCATACCTAACACTGTTGTGGAGAGGACGATGTAAGTACCTTCTATTTGCTTTATTTCTGTCCAGCACATGCGCAGCATCGCATTATCACTTTGGAGGCTTTCTTTTTTGAGGATCTTGGCGAACTGCAAGACCTCCACTTGATTAGCATTATAAGATTTGCTAAAGGCTCTAAGTGGTTCTAACCTTGAGTTTTTAAATATACGGTCATACAATGGATCTACATGTGCCGAATTGGATCTCTTGGGAAACTTCACTCATAGTTTCATTAACTTATGTACATATGAACACATATCTTCATAAATTAATTTTATATGAAGAGCGTTTAAATATAATTAAAAATTTTAATGAAACTAATATTTTATTAGATTTATATATATAATTTATTTTTTAAAGTCAAAAACATCACATAAAAAATAAAGTTAAAAATTAGCCAGTTCGACATACTAAATGGAAGACAAACAATATTTAAATATATATTTTATAACAATAAAAATTGAAACGACTATAAAATAAAGAAAACTATAACGAATATCCTTATAATATAAGGCTATACAAATAAGAAAAGCTGCAATAGCCCAATAGTTTGCAAACATACGAAAACTTATACGAGCAGGTAGGTGGATTTCATTGAGTTCTTGAATACCTCTTCGTCTATTGTACTGATGGAGTTTCATAGATGGTAGCACGATTGGTACATTTCTCATGATCCTGCCAATAATGTCTTTTCGATTCGAAATCATATCCACGTAATTGCCAATCTATTATAAAAGTTATCATTATATATTCATGTAATAACCTCTGTACATCAAGTAATACCAAATTATTTAGTACATTAGAGAAATATTGCGTTAACTGAAGAACTGGCCTACACTCATCTATGCGCTTCGGGCTACAAGCAGGATCTACGTTAGAACATATATCACAAAAAAGATATCTGCACTAAAACAAAACATATGAAAACTACAATAAATAAATAAATAATACATATACATATATATATATACATATATAGATATACATATATATATATATATATATATATATATATGTATGTGTTTCAAGGAATTATGATTTTTTTCATAACATACATGCTTTTGTTTAATATGCAAAGATATGGGGACTTGTGTGAAATCATCTCTTCCAGATGTCCTCAAGCCTTGATCACAAAAGTTACCTGGTTCGTCTAGGAATTTTCAGGATCATCATGTCAAGAAAAGAGATATTCTAATATAAATTAATACATTCCAAATTTTAAAATTATTATTATCAATGTACAAATTAGTAATTAATATATAATCACATCAATATATATTGGCAATAATAACAAACAAATCAAGTTTATATACGGAAAGTCCATTTTGTATTATGAAGCGGAACTCTGTTAGTAGTAATGTGAAACAGAAACTGTCAGCTTTAAACATCTATATTGATTACTCTCAGCGTGTCTAAAATCGCTCGAGACTATCGCTATAATTTCGAACTGGTGATCGGCGAAAGTTTTTTGATACAACGTTTTGACTGCGCATCAAGAAGCTTTTCTTCTTATATGAAAGCCTATTTCTCGCCCGGTTATATATCAACAGAAATTATGTATATGGGAATTGAAAATCCAAAAGTAACTGTATGTTTAGCATAAATACCATGTATCCAAAAAAGTCCATGCATTATGTATCATTCACCATTCGGTGTGATAGTGTGAATCGCCCATACTTATCCAGATCAACTGCAGTACATCATTCACTGCAATTTCGAATCGAATCCATGATTGATTTTATGCGGTTTTACGGGCTTATCCCGCGTGTTAGAATCTATGGTTAGCCAATAAGATTCTCTTTATTTATAGATTATAGGTTTATAGATTTATAGGTTATGGGTATAAAATGAAATCAAGTTATTTTTAAAGCGCAATTAATCACAAAATATTGGTGTAAAAAAACACTCTTGAATAACAAAAAAACGCTCTTGAAAAAAACCAAAATTGTATAGCAATAGATCAAGACCAGGCAGGAAGTTTGTGTGGGACAGAAGTACACTCTTCCAAAATGAATGTATCTGTACATAACTAAATAATAAATACAAGGCAAGTCCATTTAGCATAGAGCATTTCGTCCATTTTACAGTCAACATTACGGCTACGTTAATATTGTTAAAAATAAAATTGCAGAATTGAAGAATGGCGTTACGTTACGGTGAATGGCGAGCGCTATCAAGCCATGCTGACTGAATTTCTATTTTCGAAATTTAATCAGTTAAACATCACTAAATCAGACATTTGGTTTCAACAAGACGGCGTTATTTGCCTTACCATAGCGTGCTTTATAATCGATTTATTGTGAAATTAATTTGATAATTGGTGTTTCAAGAAGTGGTCCTGTTAACTAGTTACCAAGCCCCCTCTTCAGCCCCCCCCCCCCACTAATTCTTACGATTTAGTACTTTTCGATTCGTGTTTAAGGGGCTATGTTTAGTCACTCGCTTATGCTAACAAATCAGTAAGTCTTAAAACATTGGGAGCCAATGTTTATACCATCCTTGTTATTACAAAAAATAGTTAAAAATTGGACTGATCGAATGGACTATGTAATTCGGAGTTGTGAAGGATATATTCATATCCGGAAATCATATTTAAACAGCGAAGTAAATGCCATGAAATTATGTATCAGATTATAGTAAAAAAAATTTTATTCCAATAATATTTCTGTTTTGTGTTATCATTTTAAATTCTCATGTAGCTAAAAAACACTCTATATAGATCGTTTTTGTTATTATCACAGGTTAATGCTTATAAAATTTATATATTCAAGTTTTTTGTTATTTTATCTTTAGATGTTATAATGTAAATAGTAGATATTAGTGATTAATAAATACCTGGAAGATCGTTTCTTTCAAATTATCGAGGATATAGGTCAACTTGCATAGTGTCTCTGTGTTTGTAGCCATTTCCAGTTCTATTTTTCTTATCAGACTTTTACGTGTATTCACGAATATATCAAGTAAAGGCTTACTATCGGAAACTTTATCAATCTGAGTATCTAAATCTATAATTTTCATCTTCGTATCAATTATAGTGTTGTATAGACTTTTAACAATTCTTTCGAACATTATCAGCGTATAAGTGTGAAATGCAGGAACGTATTCACTTTGTACAAATAGTTGATCCCAATCTTGAAACTGGGTAACCATTAGAAATCTTAAACAAAAATATAAAATATTTAAATATTAGTGGATTTTGTTATTACTTGCAATAATAATATGTGATATGATATAAATATCATTCTACTTACTTTTTTTGAATACCATAATAGACGCCGTCTAATTGTTCCTTATTAAGTTTATTTAGATAAAATTGCTCCGTTTCCTTTAGTTTCAACATAAAATTCTCGTTGCCGAAAAACTTTTCAAAATATAAAAAAAAAAAAACAAATTAAATTTTTTTTCAATTATAAATAAATAATATAATTTCTGTGAAAGTGAAATCTTTTACTTCACAGCATAATGCAATCAAGGGGCCAACAAAGAGGATTAGAGAAAATTAAATGTAATCGTCACTAAAATTCACAGAAAAATAATTTTAGCGGTAAGAAACCGCTAAGCGGGTCATTGGACCCATGTGGTTGCAGTGATAGTTTCTTCACTGATGTACTGATAAAATTTAATGGCATTTCAGGGAACACAAACGAAGTTATTGTCTATAAAGTATTACCAGTACAAATATTAGTATCAAACAAAAAGGGTTGAATAGGCATTGCTTAAAGTAATTGTAGTAGTCAGTAGTCAACAATGTCTATATCAGGTATGTTATATGTATGTAATTTAAATTTGACAAAAAAAAAAATTGATTTAAATACATTAGTACATTCATTTATATTTTAAGTGCTATAAGGCCTGCTGTCTTCAGGTCTAATAGCCGGACTTGGAGCGCTTACATGCTTGGTAAAGGTGTGGAACATAAACTAACTAGAATCACAAAAGAAAAAAACGATATATTCGATATGAATATCAAATAATTAATAAAGAAATGAAAAATTGTATATTGGGTATATTAGATAAGTAATACGGCGTTTACATTGGCCGAAAATGGCTCATTTTGAATGACTCATTTGAAAGTGTTTACATTCGTTGTATTTCATTCGTTGTCATGGTAACAATTCAAACTGAAATAAAAACTAAACATTTGTTTACCTTTTTTTGTAAATATGTCAAAAACAGCTTTCTCAAACTGTCAAAATGCTATGAAAAGCTTTTATTTATGGTATGTTCAATGGATTCCTTTGCATTTGGAACGTATGTGGAATGCATTCGAACGTCATTCATACAGAATGTGAGAAAATTGCTCATTTTTGTGCTTGAAATTTTATATGCAAGAATGAGTCATTCGATACTCATTTTCGATTTTTGACCAAAATGAGCCATTTTCGGCCAATGTAAACGCCATATAAAATTCAATGTAATACGGCGTTTACATTGGCCGAAAATGGCTCATTTTGAATGACTCATTCGAAAGTGTTTACATTCGTTGTATTTCATTCGTTCTCATGGTAACAATTCAAACTGAAATAAAACTACTAAACATTTGTTTATCTTTTTTTGTAAATATGTCAAAACAGCTTTTACAAACTGTCAAAATGCCATGAAGAGCTTTCATTTAGGGTATGTTCAATAGATTCCTTTGCATTTGGAACATATGTGGAATGCATTCGAACGTCATTCATACAGAATGTGAGAAAATTGCTCATTTTGTGCTTGAAATTTTATATGCAAGAATGAGCCATTCGATACTCATTTTCGATTTTTGACCAAAATGAGCCATTTTCGGCCAATGTAAACGCCGTATTAGTTAAGATGTAAAAATTATACTGGCAGAAATCTCTGAAAAAACTAGTACGTATGTCCTTTTAAAAATACAATTCTTGGTAGCACTCTACTAATCGAATTATTTCTCGCAATCTGTTTTAGTTTATGATTTATGTAGTTGTTGTATATACGCATATATAAAATATATATATATATGCTGGTAGATACAATACCATTTATATGATAGATACAATATTACAAATTTGTTTTAAGACGATTTACTTACATCGACGACCATTTTTAACATTTGCATATTGGAATCACTGAAATAGTCAAGCTTCTCCAAACATGGCAGAACATCCACAAAGATCTGTGTGTAAATTGTCAGATTTTCTTTGAAAAAGTTTTTAACACGTTCATTCCATATAAAAGTGGAACCCAATTGGGCTTGGCTGAAAGAGTTTTTTTTTTGTTATATTTTATAATAATTTTGTTATAATAATCAACTTAATATATATAAAATAGAATAGTAAAACAGATCCTACATAATATTTCAGAATTATAAAACAGCAAATAATACTAATAAATAAAAAAAAAAACAGACAAATATCTAGATATCGAACCAGTTTGTAAGCTGCTATAGAAATAGGTTTCCGATGTAAAAAGTAAGGGAGCCACCATGACAGTTTATGTTGTACAAGAAAGTCTTTCTTGAACAATGTTCTGGCTTAATACCAACACTTTAAGCGAAGTAATCATATTTGTCCTAACTACATTTTTAATTGGTGTTTCTACCAAAGCAGAAATCTACAAGTGGCAATATGTTCTTCACTTATTTAATTTCCGAGTTACCTTTTGGAAGATGGAAGATTTTTCGAATTTTTTCCAAATAATTTCAGTTAGACTGAAACCACATTCAAAATTTTTGTCGCATATAAGCTGTAGACCAGCTTGAGAATCAATAATATGTACCAAAACGCTACACAAATACTTCAAGAAAGAATATTTCATTACCTTTGTTCTTCATCTTCTTCTTCTCCGCTATCGCCATTTTCCTGATTATTTGCTTCTGCCGCCCATGGTTCCAAATATCTTAACCATAGTTTCAACACAAATATATATGTTTTATCTAGCGGCCAGTAACGGAAAAGTTTCCATATGTAACTGTGAAATCTATTTTTTAACAAGTAAAGACTATTTTCGCGCACGCAAATCATGTGTAAGCCTTCATCCTTGTAAGGAATAGAAAACGCAGATATATGCTTAATAAATTCTCTTTGTAACTTAAGAAAATAAGCACTTGGCAGATCCTTTGAGAGAGAACAATATTAACAAAAATGATCGAATTTTATATTAAAAATTATTTAAATGCTGATAGTATACAGCATTGAGTGGCACCAATTTGTTGCTAAAACGGTTATTAGACAGATGAGATCAAAATGCTGCACAATAACCAGTGGTATATATATATATTTTACCAGTCAAACGACAAATTGATTACACCGAATTGATTACAATATTATTTTTTGCTTACCTTTGTGGACTTGATGTCATTACAAAACCAAATATCCATAAAAAACCGTAATACGGACTCGACGCGGAAGTCTTCTACATCAAAAAATGAAATATTCGGTTTATGTGTTAGACTTTCAAAGATACCTAGTATCGGTAAGCATAAAACTGGTGTTTCCGGAGTGTTTTTTCGATATGGCCTCATAGATTCGTTACTCATACAAGGCACAATTTCTGCAGTAGGGCTTGTTGGCAGGTACATGTTGAAATATTCTGTAGCTAATGTCTGGTAAAATGAAATTGTTCCATTGTCTTGTTCATTATCTAAGTCTACTGACACCTCAAAGTATACTTGAACGCCAGCTGAAGCAAAACAGACCATATAATACTCAAACGGATTGATGGAAAAATTGACTATTTCTGTACGGTTTTCATTCAATTCAACTAGGTTATCATAGAAACCAGTACTAGCGATTAAATTATTTTGCATAGCTTTCTGAAAATATACAAAATTTTTAGAACAAAATATTGAACATACAATTATAATTATATATATATTCTTAAGGCTTACCGGTAATACATCATGATTGAAATGTAGGCGAACTTTGTTGGCGACTAAATCGCAAGCGGTACGTAGTAGTAAGCCGTTTGGTCCAAGGAATGCTTTCAATGCTGTTTCATTCTTTCTACTGGGATTAAAGATTCCCCAATCCTCTTCAAATAGGTTCATTCCGAAAATAGAATCAACCATTTGTTGATAAACATATATCAATTCTGAACCCTTTAGCTCTTTTAACAGTAAACTGAATGACTTTATTTTTTTCGGTAAGGGTAACTGCGCCAATTCTGTTATCTTTTTCTGTAATAAGTAAGATTTTAAGTTTTAAAGTTATTGTTAATAAAATTTTTTTTTAATTTAAAAATAAATAAATCACAAACTTCTAGTAGAAAATTTATAACTAAAGTTCTAGTGAGACCTATTTTTACCCTGAATTTTCTGTTCTCCGAATTGAAGCAGTGTTTTATTTCAAACTAAATATGCGTTCTAAACAAAGTTCTTACAAGGCTCTACTTGAAATCTGTAGGGATAAAAGCTGCCGTACTTCGGAATAAACTCAGTATGTCAACTTGTACCTACACTGCACTCTTCTCCTTTTGATGTCGTCCTTTAGATTTGCTGTTTATATTGAAAAACCAATTTAATCGTTTAGAATTTATAGCTCCGTAATTTTGAAGTGATCAATTTATACTCATCTAAACGCTCGCCCGACCTCCATTTCACATTTCTGTACCGTCTCTTTCTTTACTTGCTTTATTAGTCCTTACGAGTTACAACAACAACAAAAAGGTACATACTGAATTACTCTGGCAAAGAATTAAGATTGGTAAAAATTACACTGGACTATAACGCCTACACAGATAACTTTGAAAGACCAGAAGCAGTGCAAAGACTAAGGTATATGTCAAAAATGAATAATTAACTTAATTAATTAACTTAATTAACTTAACTGTGTACCCCAACAAAGGAGAAAGTATGAATATATATATATATGAGAATCAGAAACTGAATGAATCATAAAAGCAATATAATATAGTTTGATGCCAACACGAAACTTTCTCAGAACTCTTTATAAAAAAATGTGGGAGATATGAATGATCTATATATAATATACTATTTAATAACATAATGCAAATCCTTAGCTGTAAAAAATTTTTCTACGCTACATAACAATGTCTTCAATATATTACTGTATAGGACTGGCGAAAGCATTTGACTTAGAAGTAACATCAGATTTTAAATTTACTTTAACAATCTGATTTCCGTCCTTAAAAACGCAAAAGTTTAAGTACTCTGGGACAGAGATATAGATTTACTGAAGTGATTATATAGTGGAGATTTTTGTGATTACAATACAACTCAATAGAAAGATCCGTATAATATACTTAGTCACAGTTACTAAGCTACACAATGGTTAGTTTAATTTTAAGCAATAGTTAGCGTGGCTTCCCTACAACTTTATGGGCATCACAGTGAACGATAATTGTCTCTGAGTGTAGGTGCTGATGTTCCAATCAAAATCACGCACTTTTTAAATTTAACTCAAGGTTAAGAAAACCCTTAACCTATCAAGGTGCGGATATTTAATGATAAAACGATTGTACCGAGTAAGCAGAGCTTTTATCACACCAGTGCTAGGACTAGTGTATTATCAAATGAGTTAGTTGTGATAAAGTTAATAATATAAAACAATAATTTGAGTTAATTCAAAAAGCTGTAATATTGGACACATGCGCCATAGCGAACAGATTTCTTACTTGAAACAAAATAGTATATATTTATGAACCAAGAACTTGGACAATGATTTATCAGCGCAGCATCCTTTGCTAGATTGTATTCCGGATGTTGAGTTTAAAGAAAAACAATATTTTTGTGTTTAACAACGAATAAAAAAATAATGTCTCAAA